AGTTAGTTAGTTAGTTAGTTAGTTAGTTAGTTAGTTAGTTAGTTAGTTAGTTAGTTAGTTAGTTAGTTAGTTAGTTAGTTAGTTAGTTAGTTATATTTTTTGAGGAAGACCAAAGTGAAGCTTGAAGCTCCAGCCCTGCTGACTGTGAAGAGCGGGGAACCAGATATTCAAAAACAATACGTCACCCCCACAATGCACCTCGCTCACGCTGCATTACCTCATCCCACAATCCACCACGACGTGGAGAATCTTCTGGTTGGTCGTCTAGGCAACGTGCCTTATCGGCAGTTGTGACTCCGCCTCAGACCACACCCCCCAGCCAATGGCAGCGCTCCGTCATGACATCATGGTTATTTTTAGCGCGGCAGCAGCAGCAGATAAGGTTAGGCTGCACATTGTCTGCCCCACAGTAAACACACTCAGGCAGAGCGGACAGGAGCTCGCGCGCTGCTTGTAAAGCTTTGAAGTGCCGACAGCGGCGGGGCTTTGAAGAAAGTTCTGGTTCTGCGAGCTCAAAGTTCTGGAGTTTTTCCACGGACAGGCTGAGAGAGGACGCAGTTTTTTTAAAAAAAACTTTATATGTATACCAAGATGGAAACTACTTTCTATGACGACTCGCTCCACGCTCTGACCCAGCACGAGTCCACGCGAGCCCTGAAACACAACATGACCCTGAACCTGGACCAGGGGGGCTCCCTGAAACCTCACCTCACCTCCCCGGACGTGGGTCTGCTGAAGCTGGCCTCGCCCGAGCTGGAGCGGCTCATCATCCAGTCCGGGAACGGGCTCATCACCACCACCCCGACCCCGACCCAGTTCCTGTGCCCGAAGAACGTGACGGACGAGCAGGAGGGCTTCGCGGAGGGCTTCGTACGCGCCCTGGCGGAGCTCCACCACCAGCACATGCCGGCCGCAGCCAGCGGCACCTCCAGCCCCGGCAGCGTCAGCACGGTCCTGCCCGCGTCCTSCGCGCCCGGTTCTGTTTACAACAACCCGTCCGTGCGCGCGGACTCGCCGGTCTACGAGGAGCTGAACACGTTCACCCCGGCCATCAGCACCGTGTCTGCGCCCGGCTACAGCGCCTCAGCCCCGGCCGTGTCCTTCCCCGCCGCCCCGCCTCAGCTTCCCGTTTACGGCCGGCAGCAGTCCTCCTCCTCCGGCGCGCTCCCGCGGCTCGCCGCGCTCAAAGAGGAGCCGCAGACCGTGCCCGAGATGCCGGGGGAGACCCCTCCGCTGTCCCCCATCGACATGGAGAGCCAGGAGCGCATCAAGGCGGAGAGGAAGCGCATGAGGAACCGCATCGCCGCCTCCAAGTGCCGAAAGAGGAAGCTGGAGCGCATCTCCCGGCTGGAGGAGAAGGTGAAGACCCTCAAGTCCCAGAACTCGGAGCTGGCGTCCACGGCCAACGTGCTGCGGGAGCAGGTGGCCCAGCTGAAGCAGAAGGTCCTGAACCACGTGAACAGCGGCTGCCAGCTGATGYTGACGCAGCAGCTGCAGACCTTCTGAGGCCGGGCTCCAGACTGGCTTCAAKGAAACTGGGGCTTCCGGTCACCGTGTCTCCCAAAAACTCGTGGCGGGATTTGGGACGATGTGGCGGGACCTGGGTTGGGGGGGCCGCACCGAAGCTCCTGAGGTGTCGGGGCCCACCGGTGCGTCCTCCTGGAGACGGGCTCTGGGTAGAGCCAGAGAGGACAGAACCAACAGAACCAAGACGGACTGAAACTTTCTTGATTTCTTCCAGATCTGCATGGACTTTATTCCCATCAGTGGCGTCACTAGGCCTATTTTAGGGGGGCTCGAGCCCCTCTAAACTATCTTGGTATAAAAAAAAAAAATTACACCAAAATAATTTAGGGGGGCTAAAATTAAAGAATGGTAATTTTTTTTTACAAAAATTCAATATGATGTGGTCAGAATAGATAACCATTTAATNTCGTTATCCAATCCATTCTTGTTCATAGAGTACTCCCCCACCACATGAAATCCAGTCCATGTTTTTCCTGCAACCTTAGCAGCAACATGCTAACAAGTTTACAGCTCAGTGCAGCATGAAGGCTCAGTGAGCAGACCAGGAGAATGATCAGTGAAAACTGGATATACTAAAGTTTTTCAAGAAATTATTAATCATCACTGCTGGTAGTAACCATAAACATAAAGAGCAGACAGACGGACCGCTATATTGCTGCTGTCGCGCTGCAGGCCGCCATCTTGGAAAAGTCGTTTGCTCAATGAAGTCTCAGCCTGTTTAATCAATCATAACTCGCTGAAAACTAAACTTTTACACACTTTTTTTTTCCACTGGAAACCCAAAACCTCCAGCTATCAAAGCTACATGTATAAGAAGAAAACATAGTTCAACTTATTTAAATATTCTTATAGGGTTAACTGTAAAACACTATCCACATATA